TTTGGGGGGAGGCGATCGGACCTACAGTCCACAGACTTTTTGTGAATCCGATACTGATTTGATATATCCTTCCCCCCCCCACCACCACTACCGCTACGGCTTTCAAACTGCAACATTTCACACATATCTCAAGGCTCTAGAGCACTAATGGGACATATGGTAGATATGGCCCAGGAGACAAAAAAAGAAAAAATCTCTACTTGGAGTGACCTTTTCTCTTGTTATATCCATATACTATACCCTAATATTATCTTAACAAAGCCAAGGGGGTGAGGCAAAGCATGTGCTCTGGCCTGCTAATAGAACATTACCTTCCTCATCCGTGTCATCTTGCATATCAGGAAGAGTTGGAGCATTAGGCAGAGCGTCCATTGAGGAACGCCCAAGTCGGCATAGCTTCGAAACACTATTGATCACCATGGAACCCAGGGGCATTGGGGTATCTGCAATAAGACTGATCATTAATTATATTCTAGCATCAGGAAAGCAGAAGAGGTATTTTTGTTTCACAAAACATCAGTGAAATCTTTTCAAAACAGAGAGATGAAGAAGAGATGGGTATGTCCATCAAGGCTGGATACTTAACCAAGCCAGTCTTCATGGGAGCAAAAATTAGTCTTTTTTTTTTCCCCACACAGCACTACCTCAGCTGATTCTGGCTCACTATAAAACCGAAGAAATTTTAACTCAGAGGTCATTACTATATCTGATCTAATCTGGACTAGGAAATGAGAATTGTTATTTGTGCATTGCCTCAGTTCAATGCAGGTAAAGGAACTAAAAGAACTGTGCTGCTGACTAGGGTTGTGATACAGCCGTGTCAGGCCAATCTCATGAAATGGGCTATTAAAAATCTTAGTTAGCTGCAGCCACCGCCACAAAAAGCTCTTCCATTTTTCTGTCCTTTATGCCAAGAATCATGCCTCCCATCTGCAACTTACTGGGCAGCTTATCCTCTTCCACATCATATACCTGCTCAGGGTGCATGCTCTTGGGTCCTTCTCCAACATGGGATACCACCAGAATGGTAGCACATGGGTGCTCCTGAATGAATGCTTGGACTTGTCACCTGTCTCTCCTTCTGATGAATCTGTGCTTACATTAGTCACCAAGTCACAACTCCCCAGTTAAGCTAGATGTCAGCATGAAGGGCCTCAGAAGGCACAGCTGGATGTTTGCTCAAACAAGACATTTATGTGATCCGCCTCAGACTCTGTGCACTCATGTGCCCTGAAAACAAGACCCATCAGAGACATCACCACCTCTTCTCCCTCTTGCGACGATTACAGAGGGCACTCGAGGAGCGAGTGAAATCATATTTCATCACCCATATCCGATCGCACACGACACTGCCTGGTCCTACGGCAGAAGGAAATCGCATAGCTGATCGATTGACGGCTGCTGCAGTCCTGCCTGACTTAATGAAACAAGCAGAACTGTCACACCAATTCTTCCACCAGAATGCTTGCGCATTGAAGTGCATGTTTGGACTAACCATGAATCGGGCACAGGACATCATATCAGCCTGCCCGGACTGCCAAATGCAGCAGATCCCGCCTGTGGTGGGGACAAACCCACGAGGGTGGCAATCGGGCCAGCTGTGACAGATGGACGTAACACACATACCGGAGTTTGGGAGGTTAAAGTACGTCCATATGTGTGTGGATACTTTTTCGGGTGTGATAATCACTACTGCTCACTGCGGGGAAGGCGTGAAAGATGCAGAGAGACATTTATTAAGTGCTTTTGCGATGCTTGGGGTGCCAACTCAGATAAAAACCGATAATGGGCCAGCGTACAGTTCTCGCGCATTAGCAGGGTTTTTCCAGAGATGGGGGGTCCGGCACGTTATGGGAATTCCACAGTCCCTGTAGGGTACGGTGGTTGGAAACAGGCAAAAGTAATGTATAAAGACTTACACACGCAAAAATGGGAGGGCCCAGTACCTCTAATAACCTGGGGGCAAGGGTATGCTTGTATTCATGTTGCAGGACAAAACCATTGGGTACCGGCGCGATGGATAAAGCCAGCATTATCAACACCAACGGCTGCGGAGAGAGGAGAAGATCCCGAGGAAGAGTTCCAACAATCATCGGAGGACTAATCCTCTATGGACTTGCTGCAACCAAAGCGATCACTGCAATGCCAGCACCACCACTTCAACCTCGAGAGAATGTGTGGGTAACCTTGGGGCACCTGGGGAACCAGACTCAAACGAATATTTGTAATGGGATGTATAGTGCTAACTGTAATCATAATCCCTTGTATGTATTTGCCACGTCTCATACAATTGATACGTGCCTTAATGGAAAGAATGATAATGACCGTTCTAAAGAGGAATGCGAATTTAGTCACCACCGTTGAAGAAAAGAAGAAGAACTTGCTTAACTGTTGGGAGGTTTTACAGCGTTGCCAAAGCCAACTCCTTGGCTATTGCGCTTTGGGTCCTTAACTATGCCTGGTGCTAGAAAACAAAAAAGGGGGAGATGTGAGAAACTGAGAAGCCGTGAGAAACTGTGGGAAGCTGTGGGAACGGTGAAAGTTAGGAGTGAGAAACTGTGAAAGTTAGGAATAACAGATTAGCAGATAGAGAAACCTAAAACACAGGCTGGACGCACCGATCTCTGGTTGGGTACCTGTTGTCTGTTAGCAGGATTGGACCCAGATAGCAACAGAGTCAAGGAATTGGCTGAAGGCAGGGGGAGGGAGCGCGTGGACACTGTATGCTCACATACTCGGAGAATATATAAGTTTGGTCTGATGCTCAATAAAATGGCTTCTGGCCCTAAACCTTAAGCCCCTGCTCCTTCGATGATTCCCACAGGCTTGTACAAGAAAAATGAACAGGTAATGAGATATGGAACACAACACACCTGATGATTCATGTATTTTGTGACAGGATTTTCAACTTCCTCCAGAAAGTTATTTTTCTTTCATTTGGCTAGTTAAGAAGAAATCCTACAGGAGATTACTTGCTCTCTGCATAGTGAGCTTGACACCTCAAGCAGGGAAACTCAGAATAACAAGCTTTATGAGCATTCAAGGGTCAGCAGTAATGTCCCTGTGCAGGGCTTATCCTGCCACTAATCAACATGCTGCTCAGGTGGGTATTTAGTTATCCAGCCTCAAAGGCCTAGGTGAATTTTGGAGCAGTTTCTGAATCATTTTGGAGCAAGCAGCTTTCTGATGCTGTCCATCTGCTGGGGGTACTTCCTTACAGCTCCTAAAGCATCTAACACACAAATCCATACAAAATAAAGGGAGAATGTGGTAATTAGCATCTAAGGCAGTGAAACAACCTTCAGACACACACAGTTCATGTAGCTCTACTTAACCTGGGCCACAAATTTATAAAATCTAAGAGATGCTGACCAGAGTCTTCCCCATGTCTGCCACTTATGCCTATCCCGTTACCTGCCCTGATTCTGTCTCTCTACATGTCTACCCATCAGGAGCCACCTCTGAGTCCCGCATCCAGCTGCACTGCTGAACTGTGGTCGTCTGTGACTGGCAGGAGAGAATGAGGGCTCTGGCTTCCTCCTTCCAAGGATCGGGGTGGTCATTCTGCCTATTAAAACCCTCTTTATGCTCATATTTATTAAGATGTTATAGCCTGTCCCCTAAACTGTAGCATACACAGAATGACAGAGTGTCTAACCCACCCACAACCCTCACTCCCACGTGCTAAGCAATTCACTTCCGAGGCATAACCACTTTTGCCTGCAGATTGCTACTGAACAGTTCCAGACAGTCACGGCTCTGCAGCTTGCCACAGGGCAGTTTACTTCACTTGCCCCGTCTGTAGTCACCAGCACAGTGTTTGTCTAACTCATCTTCTGAAAATCTCCAGAGGCAACAGGTATTAAAGCAGAGAATCTGATATCGGAGAAGCTTTGTTTTGAGAAGAATTTATTGTCATTTGATAAGGTCATGCTGATGGCAAATTTCAAAAGATTACTGGACCACGTGGACATTTCTCAAGTTCCTCAAATGCCTTTAACAAACACACCTTAATCTGTAGGCTCCTCTCGGTGCTATTTAATTTAATTCTGGACTTTCAAGCTGTTGCTGCAAGTGTGGTGACTAGGTTTAGAAAGAAGAAATGAAGAAAGGGAGTATGACAGACCTGCTACCAAAACTTACAAGAATACAAATGTTTGCACAACATTTCTAGTCCATTTGCAAACCTACCAGTTGTAACTAAGCTACCCCAGCAATACATAGGGGAACAGCTCTGTTGACTTCAATGGGGTTCTTCCTGTTAGGGTAACCAGATGCATTGGGATGACTGGTCTCTGCAGAGATATGTGGACAGGCTTTCTATGCTGAATCCTCCGTTTCTGGAGGGAATGTTCAATACGTGGCCTTTTCTCCAAGTGGCTGCCTTTGTCAGATTACTGTTATTTTAGGACCCTCCTAAGTATGACCCTTTCCAAATGATGAGGCAGAATACAAGGGTGGAAAATGCTGATCAGGGCAGATCTGGGGCCTATTCAAAATCCTAGCAGGCTTTACTAATCCCCACAGAAAGGACTGACAGATCTGTCGCATTACACTCAGCTGCAGGAGCTTAGGACTTCTAAACACCATTATATATCAAAAATAGCTTCACTTCAAGCAGCTCTACTCCCCCCGCTCATCTGGTCACTTCCAGGGTTATGATCCCCAGCCTATGAAATACAGTATTACTAATAACATGCCAGAAGTGGCTTAACCACAGCCCTGGCAACCCTAGTCATCTGGTGAAATTAATCAGCCCATAAAACACAATATCCCAAGTGCACAATATGTTATGTGAGGTCTATGTCTTTTGTTTCTTGTCTATAACATCCCCAAGTAGCCTCCCAAGAAAGTTCAGTCCATTGAAGATAAAGAATATTACAGTGGGAAAACTCGTTGCCAAGACCTGATCAACACTGAATCCAGAGCTAAAACACTGACATACGGGAATTCACTCAAACCAGCATTGAACCATCTCCCAAGCAAATATCCTAAGGAACTGGAGAGCAATCAAAGCAAATGACTGTAGAGGGACTTCTCCAAAAAGTGGGCTAATTCTGCCCATCTTCTGGGGAGAAGATGAAGGGATGTTGCATCTCAGGCCCTCCTGGTAGCAGCGCAAGTCAGTAGCCACCTTTCTTTCTCCTTAGCGTTATGGCGTTATGCAATTTCACAATTGGTCTACCTTGGCTGCCAGTGAATGCTCACAAGGTTATTTTATGTAACATACTGAGACATTCTAGTTGCCTTTTATGAAGCTGGTCCAGGTGGGGCTCTTGGGAACACCTTGCCAGAATTTACTCCCCCTTTACTGAAAAACACAGGGCCAGCCTGACTTCCAGCTACTGAGGACAGGATTTGGAAACCTCTTTTGAGGATGGCACTTGGTGGCCAATTTTTCTTAGAGTATCACAGAACTCCATAGAAAAATATGATGTGAGAAACACCATAGGTGTCCTAGGACTCCTCCAGCTCGTACACCATTTTGCACCTTGAAGAAATGCACTTTTCCTCATGCACTGGTTCTGCTGGCTCCACTTGCCCATGTCTCCCACGTTCAAGACCAAAAAGCAGATTCCAGATGGGTAGGCCCCACATTCTGGGGATTGCAGGTTGTCTAATGCTGAGGGAAGACACACATGCAGAAGAGGGAGAAGGGCTCTTGTGGATGTGCATGCCCCATGAATATTTTTTTGGGTAAAGGCTACTCCGACTGACAGCTGCCAATGGCCTAGAAGTCTCATCACATACGTTTCTGACACGTTAAGCAAACCACACTTGTTGCTGGAGACTGGCGTTGAGCACAAGCTTTGGAAGTCAAAATGAGATGTGGTACAAAAATTGTGGAAGACTTCTAAAATACCCTGGAACAGCAACCTCAGCTCTCACTGAGATTTACATGCAGAAAGTGCTTCTAAATCATCTGGCAGTCTGTGAAAATCCACAGCGGGGAATCCACAAACTGCCAGATTTTTTTTTTTCTGGTTCTATTATAGAACAATAAATCCTTGCAGACAAACTGCACAAGGAGAAACAACAAAATTCTCATGCAGAGTTGAAGAACATCAAAGCTCCAGCAGCATGATGGACATGGATCATTCACAACCAGCCAAGGGCAGTTCAGATACTGTTAACAAGCCAGTTACAATGGGCAAAATGACCTCTTCATTTTGCTTTGCTTGCTGAGGTACTCAACTCTCCCCAGCAAAATATAATTTTGTGTTCTTGAAAGGGAAAACAATGATGCAAGTGACTTGCTTCTGAGCAAAAAATAACCTCCCAATTAAGCACTGTTATTGCAGATATTAGAGTATCTCCTAGCAATATTCTAGTATCATGTCTCTTTTTACAAACTGCATGTGGAGGGGAGCAGGGCAGATGCCAACTTAACTTCAGCAGTGGAACTGGTTCATAGCAGGATATACGGTTAGTATCACGGGTGTTCCAGCCACACGCTAACTGCCTCTATTCCTACTTCTATTGACTGTCTCACTGCAGGCACATTGGGAAAGGAGAAAAAAATCTCTCCACTTCTATACTTTACCACATAAATACCTGACAATCATTTATCCTAAATATTTTTGTGAGCGTGCTAATTTCCAAGATAATATTTAGGATTGATTTTCTGCTTGTCTGTCTCTACAGAAAGCCTTGGAAAAATCTTTTCTGCCTTCCAATCATAAAGCTCTTTTTCCTCTGCAGAGCTTTGGCTGACCAATCTAAAATCTAAACTTGGCACAACCCAATTTAACAAATATAGTTTATTTTTGAGACAATGTCAAGAAAAATAATGCTGACAGTATGCATAATTTAGAATAACATTATATAATCATTCATAATTAGAAATAGGTTGATTTTATTATAAGAGTTTCTGGATAACATAGTTTTCTTTTGGTAAGGACACACTTCCCCTGCAAAACTGAAATGGGTCTGGAAAAAAAAAACACTTCTAGCAAAATTATAAAGAAAATCTTAACCATAGAGCTTTCATTTGGTAAGTCTTAATAAAACTGTGAGGCTTTGGAAAAAAAATGCAAGAAGTTTGACTAATTTTCCCTTCCTTGCAATAAAAAAAAATCCTGCAAATACTTTGCTAGCCAAAGATATAGTGGGAGTTTAAAATATAGACTGTGATGGGACTTTGTTAAAATCTGAGCTATGGAAAAAAATTCAATTGCATGCATCAGTCTTGCCATCTAGTGGCTATGATAAAGAAGTGATAGAAGTGAACACTGGGCATGGATACGCTTGTATGCGGATCCAAGTGGGATGAGCTTGGGGAAAGGAGAGGTACTGTTAGGTCTGGTTTTCGAATCGACGGAGAAAGAGGCAAACACCATCGATATATTGTGCTTTTTAATAATAGGAGAAAGATAATAAGTATATAAGCAGCCCCTCTATCATCCTGATTGAGGGCAGGGCACCCTAACCCCGCCACCTATCAAGGGTCCAGACCTTGCCATGAGCAGGGCATCCTGACCCTGCCATCTATCAAGGGTTCTGCCCCTGCCATGAGCAGGACATCCGGACTCTGCCAGTTATCATGGGTCCTTGCGCTCTAAGACTCAGCTTATTCTACATTAGCTATTTAACCCCTACCGGCCATTAGCTATTTAACCCCTACCTTCCCGGCTAATGCACCCTACAGTACAAGTTCTCCCTGAAGGGCCCTGTGAGGTGCTAGGTGCTTCACACCTAATCTTCACTGCACTACGCACTGCGATTACATGGACTAGTCACTGTGCTAGATATTAGATTTTATCCCCAAAATTCTGCTACTTATTTCCACGTAAAAGAAAAAGAGTTAACTTTGAATTCAGTAAAGGAGATTTTTGTTTTGTCATTGCAACTGGAAACAAAGGCAAAGAAGTAGACAGTGAAGTCCTTCATCGTTATCTCCAGACCATCTGTATCTACTTAATTTTGGCCATTAACTGACACAGTTCATTCACTGGATGAGGGAAGATGTTTTCTGTTGAGCAAAGTGCTTTGACTGAAGCATTTCAAAGCTTGGTTCTAAAAAAAAAAGCTCAATTTTGAAACAACATAGCTTTAATTAGGAGAATTAGAAGCATCTGAAAATGAGAACAAGAATATGTTCAGACTGAAGAATATGCTGCACTCCTGGTGCAGGAGTGTTCTACACTTTTTTAGGAATAACCTGCAGCTACTACTGCCCCTTCCCTTACATGACATGCCTAGGAAGCCCTCATTCTCCATCGTGCACCCACATCCAGTTGCATGATGTGTGTATGGGATGGATAAACCCATGTATGTTCAGAGATGTGACCAAAAATGCCACCTCTGTCCCCCACAGTTGCACAACAGTGTTCAGGAACATCAGTGTTCAGGCTCGGGTGGCCTGATGCACTGAAGTTTGCTATTGGAGAGCTGAGGTACCCCGTGGCCTTCGAAGGCTTCTGGAACTGCCAGCTGGACGTGCTGGGGCAAAAGCCTGGGGCTGCTGCACAAAAAGGGGTAAAAGGGGGCTCTGAGAAATGGAAGGGAATTGAGGCTGAGGCTGAAAGGCACAATGGGTAACTGCTTGGAACTGGTTGGCTCAGGGGTATTTTCCAGCTTGATATTTTACTTATAATGGCTATAAATAATAAAGAGCTTCTCCATTCTGTCTCAAAGGGAGCTGGAAAATGTGGTTTCATAGTTGAGTCAGGAGCATGTCTGCTCTCCCCTGAGCCTCTGCTGTTGCTGTCTATAATACCAATGTGATTCCTTCTTATAGTTCTCATTTTAAATTTACCCTCACTGATGAAGCTTCTAAGAACTTCTCTAAGTGCATGTGATATTTAGAAACCAGAATAACACCTGTAAAACAAAGGCTGTTCAAGATCCAGTGTGCATCTGGTTACAAGCTATCTTAAAAGCAAACAAGAGGTGAATTTGTCATTTAACATCCTCCATAGGCTGCAGTACAGTCAGACCAATGCCGCTGTAGAACTATCACAAAAACACTCACTTGCTCCCATGAGATGATACTGTGGCGTTCAGCTGGCTCCTTTTCCACAATCGTCACCTCAGCAACTCCTGGAGAAGTCTCTAAAATGAAAAGAAGAGTGTGTCTGCAGATGCCATGGATGACAAACACTGTGAGCCAGACAACTTTGCAAGTTAAATCTGACTGACAACTGGGGAAATGCATTCCTGACTGCGAGAACTACGCTAGGCACTGAGCTGGGACTTGCTCTGGTCTGTAACTGTCCTCAGCATGTCTTGGTATGAGGACGCTTAGTGCTCCACAAGTTGGCATCCTCTGATCGTTTTTATATACACTTACAGACACACACTATACACAGATTTTGTATTTAAGCTCTGATCTTTTGCAGAGGCTTCATGGAAAAAAAATCAGCCCCAGCTCCTGAACATGCTCTAAAAGTCAGGTGAATCTTTTTTTTTTTTGTAAACATGCTCGGTGGCCTCAGTTGAGCAAGATATTTCTAGCTTGACACTAGATGTTGTGCACTGTTGCTGTGAAATGTGAACCTCATATTCCACAAAGATGGGTGCATTTCAGGGCTGGAGTCTGAACAGATGTAGGGTCTGATCCTGCAGAATGGACCAGTGTGAACAAACATCAGCTCCCTAGAATCCCAGCTGGGCACATGAGGAGCTGTTAAGAGCACTGAGCTCATCATTTGTAAAAATGATCTGAATATTTATGGGAAAGAATGGAATATAATATAAATGCAAGATACTAATCTACATAGTGCTATCCTTGCAGGTATGTGATGGCAGAGTAGCCTCCCTCGCACTTATTATTTTATAATGTTTTACTCTGTCTACAGCCAATGAAATGGTTCCCACTGACTTCATTCACTTTGGATCAGGTCTAGAAGGACTACTTACTTGTTAAGGGAATTGCAAACCCAGCACACAAGGCTGTGCAGCAGAAATGATCACTATGCAGGGCTTTCAAGACCAGCTCTGCTGTGAAAGCATGGGCTCCCAATGCTGTCACACATATTATAATTGCTTTCTGATAAAATAGACACAGTGCACTAGACAGGAAAGGCAGGCACCAGAGAGCTTTGGCTCTTTTTTTATCCCCAGCTCTAGGCTCTAATTCTAGGAACAGAGCTGCCCTTGTCTGTTCTGCTGGTGGAAAAGCAACAGCCAGCAGAAGGAAGTCTGAGCTTGGCTTTAATTGGAAGTATTGATTGTTACATTGTCAGATAAAATAAAAGACAAACTGTATCATCAGAAAACAAAACTCAAAGTTAAAGATTGAAAAAAATATATCATAGTAGGTCACCAAGGTAATCCTTCTGGCCAGTACAGGTCTCTAATCCCTAAAATACTTTCTGCTATTTTGCCAAGCTTCACTTCAAATAGTTGGGTGCAAGGCAGGGCAATATGTCTCTTGCTCAACTGCATGTCTTACATATGGAGACCGTATTCTGCTCTTAAGGGAGTGCATGGAATCAAAGAACTAATTGGTCTTTTCCACCTGATCCATGCAAGTCTTATAATATGTTAAGAGATTATAACAACAGAGTAATTTTACTTGTTATTTCTGTGATCAAAGAAATAGCAGGGTTGCTTAATTCATTATGCACAAAGGCTCAGCTGGGATGGTGAAAGATGTAATATCAAATCAATTACAGGAAGGTGTCCAGGGATGAGTGAATAGCATCTTCTAGAGAGGTCTGAACCAAATCCAAGATCAAAAGAAGAGAAACTTCATCTTAAAACCCTGAATGTTAAATTATAAATACCCTGTGGGTAAACTAAAGACCATGCTTAATAGATGTGTGCAAGTACTGATGGGAGCTCCATGAAACATGAAGGAGGAAAAGCAGGACAGATGCCATGGCCTGGCCGACATGGTGGCTTTAAGAATCCAGATGGAAGAAGTAAGAGGCCAACCACGTTAGACAGAAGATATGGGATAAAGCTTAACCAGTTCAGGAGAATCCTCCCAGTTAACTATCCTGAATCAATATCACAGTAAATCTGGTCCTATTTTTAGCACATTTCACCTGAAAGGTTCCAAAAATGCTTTGTAGTATTAATTACAATGACTTGATCTAATGGTCTGAGCATAAAGCAGGAAATCACAGCACAAACCGTTATTACTGCACTGCCAGTATTGCCTCTCAGTTGGATAACCTCTCAGCATCTTTGCAAACCTTTGTAAAATTCTTAACCAATAAAGACTCTAAATAGTGAAGTACGGTCCTGTTCTGGTCGGTTAGTTGACAACAGCTAACATCTGCCATTCAATTTTAGTTCTGGGTGATCAAACTTTCTGGAGTGTTACTGTTAGTCCTGGACCTTCAGCAAGCTGAATTACACTGGGAATAAAGAGACCGCTCCCTTTTTCCTCAATTTATAACCTTCATAATGCTTGTGAGAAATCTCCTACCTTGTACTGACTTCCACAGAGACTAGAAGTTGAAGAAAAAAATCTCATACACAGAATTGATTAAAATTAGGTATTTTTGGAATGGTCCCATGAGCATTTACTCAAAGGTATTGGAAAATTAGGTCTCCAGATCACATATCCTGCACGTGTTATATTTTCTTGTTTAAAAGGAGCATGCTGTGTTTTACCATATCATCATTTCCATCTCCCATAGAAGTGTTCCATTAACTCAATGGAGTTAAAAATATATCACTGCTTTGATGTTAAGGTAGGCAGAGAAGTATCTATGAGGCTTCCCAGAAGAAGAGTTAAAATAACGAGATAACTCCCAGTAGCGCAAACTACCAAATAAAGAGTCTTTCTGACTCAAATATCCTTTGTTTTGTGAAAGAAACAAACAGCATGCAGATATTGCTCTGGTAACGTTTTCCAATTTTTTTAGTTCAGCAATCCTAATTAACATGGTGCTGCAATCAACATGCTTTGGACTACTTTATGAAAAGCATGAAATTCACAGAAGGACTGGTGAGACAAAAAAGATCCAGACTAAAACATCACAACAGTGGGCTGGGGAGTGCACTGCTGTATTGCACAACACAACAGACCACAGAAGAAAAGCAGAGAGAAGAAACCAGCAAACACAAGTGCTGTGAACAAGGTGCCACATGACTTTCAGAGCCAAACCCAGATCACCACGTCTTGCTAGCTGTAAAGCAACACGCCTACCCAAGATGATTTTTATGGCAATATTACTTTTGGTTAACATCCTGCAGATCTCAACATCTGAGGGGCAGGGCTGGTAATGTTTTGAAAAGAACTACTTAAAAGAAGCATTGCAACCATATCTGATCATCACTAGTTTCACTCCCTAAATGCTGGCATGGGGTACCATGATCCTGACCTTACAGCTGAAAAACAGACAAACAAAAAACCCCCAAGAAGCCAAATAAGTTTGAAAGAGAGCTCTGAACAGAGCTTGGGGATGAAAACCTGTCCTCATTGAGGTCCATGATCATTTAATCTCATCTGGCTATTGCAGCTATCAGCAACTTGTGCTATTTGTGATACAAAGCACAGGGTTAGATAATCACAGTGATCATTTTTCACTTTAAATTCACATAAATATGATTTTGTTAAGTAAGAGTGGTAATACTGCATACACAAGGCTTGGGATAGCTCTGTTGCTTACCAGCCAGCCACATGTCTAGGGCAGTTTGTGCCCTAAGCTGCTGAAAGATGAAAGTTCTAACAACAAAGTCCTTTACACACACTAAGTATTTCCACCAGTATTTCCAACTGCCATAGCTTTGTCTGAGGCACCTTATTTTCTGATGTCGATGTTGAATTCCTCACCCTGCTGATGAATTTCAAAGAGAACTTTGGGGACACAGAGATGCTCAAGATCCGGTCAAAAATCAAAGACAACAAGCAAGACACGTTATAGAAAAGAGCCTGGGAATAAATTGCAGAGAGGTTGTGCCTTCCTCGCTGCCCGCCCTGTGGAGCTTCAGAGCTCCCTCAAGCCAGGGGTCCAAGGGGACCCTGGCCCTATCCTGTCCTGCTGCGGCCTAGTCCGGGTGCTCCCATACAGGCCGCCACTCACCCAAGATGTGTGTAACGCACAGCATGAGCTTGTCCAGGTAGGGCTTTACGCTGCCCAAGGGCTTCTCCTCCAGCCTGGGCAGCCCCCAGCCCCATTCACCATCAACTCCCAGCACCAGGCACAGGTGGGTGAGTGCGTGTGGAAAGGAGAATGTCCTGCTGCGGCCTAGTCCGGGTGCTCCCATACAGGCCGCCACTCACCCAAGATGTGTGTAACGCACAGCATGAGCTTGTCCAGGTAGGGCTTTACGCTGCCCAAGGGCTTCTCCTCCAGCCTGGGCAGCCCCCAGCCCCATTCACCATCAACTCCCAGCACCAGGCACAGGTGGGTGAGTGCGTGTGGAAAGGAGAAAAGGACCCTTTTGTCCCTCCTCCCACTCCGTAGCGGAGCTGCGCCGCCAGGAGCGCTGGGAGGTGTAGTTCTCCCGCCCCCCGCCCTGCTCAGGTCCTACGGACGGAGCGGCGCGGCAGGGAGGCCTCATGGGTAGTTCCCGGCGCGCGCGGCCGGGCGCCGCCCGCAGGACTACGCCTCCCAGAATGCCCCTCTCCGCCGCGCGCCGCCTGCG